GACGAGTCTGGCAATAGGGGTATTCAAGAATCACGCTGCAAACATGGGTATGGATTGAATCATTTCACTCAGCTACTATATGAAAGTAAGGGTTGGTCTTTCATTTTATTTCCTTTATGCTTTAAATAAAGCATGGACTTATGTGCTCGTGAATTTTACCATGTTAATGGTTGAAGTTTTATTTCAGTTATTGTGTATATATACGACTATATGCATGTAGTATATTGAAATATTGTGGACTGATGAAAGATTCAGATCGAATGAGCTTTAGTGTTATAAGCATTCCATTGAAGCTAAACAAAAGCTTGACAATGGTGGAGCACTCTAATCAGTGGGAGCTTGTAAACAGAGCTTTAAATTTGTTTCGGTATTTGTATCATGCATAATGCACTATTTGACAGTTTATGTTTTTTGCCCAAAGTTGTAACATAAATCTGTGTTGTTTGATGCTACACTCTTTGCATATAGGCAATGTCTTCTTAACTGCACTATAATACATATTGATATCTAAATATGTATTGGCAATAGCCATTGGTAGCTTAGTAAGTTTTTGTTGTCTTATTCTAATATGTCTAAAAGTGATTGTATACATATATTCTGAATCTCACTCTAGCATTGATGTGGTAAAACAATATATTTTATTGTGTATATGAAATGTGAGCATGATTTAATTGGTAAGCAATTGCATAAACACATCAAAACCTTTTCATTTTAGTTTGAACTCAAGTGGAAATTGGGATTTATGTTGAACTTGAATATGGCTGGTAGGTTGCAAGGTTGAACCTGATACATGTGAAAATAATCTATAATTAGATTTTACTTGTGTAGAAAATTGATTTTTCATTCGACGTTTGGATGATTTCTACAATCAAATTGAAATGCTAAAGTTTTATGCAGGATATCAACACTAATAATCTCTATACTTGAACAAATGTTTAAATAAATCTTCACCAAAGTGGGAATTATTAAGAAATTTTGTTCAAGGGATTCCTAATTGAATTTTGTGATGACAGTTCATTACATGAGACCAATCTTTCAAAAGAGAGAAATAGTGAATGGCTTGAACTATAATACAGTGTATAGTGTTTTATGAAAGTTTTAAGCCGATTTTGTTCCCTTGTCCAAAGACATGATTTGAGTTGTAACTTGAAATTTTTTGTGAAATAGCTATACAAGTAAGGATGCATGATTAAGATTGCATAACTGATATTTTATGTCTCTTGCCCAAAGGTGTTACATAAAATTGCATGTTATGGTTATTCATTGAATAACTAGATTATCTGCATAAGGCAAAATTGAGGCTTCACTAGAAGCTTTAGGCAAACTCATTGGAGTTTGATAAATGATCGAATATGTTTGTATCATATTTTGATGTTGTTTCATGTGAGAGGAATGTATAAATGGTTTGAGACGTTTTCAGGGTATAACTTTTTTAAGAAAATTAAGTTGACTGTTGTCTTGTCCAAAGACTTGAAATCTTGGTTGTTTTCTTAATCTTTTATATGGTTGTTACACAATAAGGTTACGTATCAAATAGTGGAAATATGGGAGTGAGATCGACATTCTGACATGCATAAGTATTTGTGTTCCTGTTGCTCTTGTTGAATCATGTTTCTTATTCTGTCAACTAAATGCAATGAATGTATTGTATGCATTAATCAATTTCAGTGCTTGATAATGTTGTGATACTTCATCATTTTTATATCTTTGATTCATAAAGATGATTGATAGCAGATTGAAATCTGTTGTTCGAGGTGTGTCTGTCCAAAGATGATACATGAAGAAACCTAGGTTTTGTATGATTAAATAAAGGCACTATAAATCCATTTATGGTATAAAGAAACATCATACAGTTTGCGTTTAAAAACTTATGGTTCTAGAGTGCATGACAACTTAGGTTCCGTTGAAGTGTGGGAGTAACAATCTGATATATGTTTTACTTTTGCACAGTTTACTTGCTTTAAATTTGTCATTGTTGAATGTATGAGGTTTTAATTTACGACTTGCAATAAAATGTATGATCTTTGTTCCAAAGAACATTTGATTGAGCTTTATTATGCAGGGAAATGGAAAAGGAATCTAGTGATTGAAGATGGCAAACCACTTTCAATTAATAAAGGTAAACTGGATAAATGCGAATGAAATGGGGTATGCAACAAGAACCATGATTAGAATGTGTATAAATGCATGTCATCATTAGCATTATTCAGTATGAATTTGTGGATTGTGGTTTCAGGGTGAATGCAACACTATTGTATGCATTATTTCCTGATATTCGAACTCCAAATGATTACTGGTCAATGTGGATAAGATGCTAGTTGTGTAGAACTCAAGTGATCACTAAGGAATGAAGTTATGTAGTACATGAAATTTCAAAACCACAACTAGTTAGCGTCCATGTGGGAGAATGTAAGAATCCTATATGGACTTAACTACTTGTGATAAAGGTGGAATTACATGTGGATAATACAACTTCAATAAGAGTTTGATACATGGAAAACTAACGTCCTATAATTCAGGAAACACATTTGAAGTGTTTGGGATGCACTGCCTTTTACTAACCCTTTTTCCACTGAACTTGATACAGCAGGACAATGACCAACTCACCCACGATAGACGGGAGTTGGCAGCCATTGTTTCCATACATTTAGGAGTTCCCTACTCACCAAGAAGACATTCTTCGACACAAGGTTATATCACCATAAGAACATAAAGGTCTTGAGTGAGTAGAAGGATTCCTTGTGCAACTAACCATGTCTTCTTCAGAGCTTTTGTGTATGATTAACAACCACCATGGCTGCACCAGGTAAGCTTCTCTCATTACGTTTGATCCTGACCTAGCAAAGCATGATAATATGAACTTGGGTTGTTCTTACAAGGCGCGAAGTCCATATGGGCACGAAAAACTGATGTTTTCAGATGGAAAGATGTAATGCCATACATCCTCAATCTTCCTCCAATTTGCTTATTTTTTGGTAATATAATATGAATTTTTGAATATGTTTCATTTGGTTTAATGGTGTTTGCAATGGTGGTTGTTTCTAATTTAAGTTGAAATTATAGAAAGCACCATTTTCTGGGTTTGTATATATGTATACGCGCGCGCACACACACACACACACATATCCATACATGCACACATATATAAATGTATATGTTTTTGCTAGATCTGATGTATGGCTTTTGTATTATTTGTTCTTGTTGGTATATTTCCTTATTCGCAAAACTTACATATATGTTTTTGCTAGATCTGATGTATGGCTTTTGTATTATTTGTTCTTGTTGGTATATTTCCTTATTCGCAAAACCCACATTGATTCTTTTGTGTAAATTTGATTTTTTTTGGGGAAAAATTGTGAATGGTTGCTTTGTTATGGATGGGTTTTTGTTTGAATGTAAAACAAATTATCAATTGTTGGTTCTGAAATCTCAAGAATTTCGATGGCAATTGCCAAAAGAAGAAGGGAGGTTGGATTAAATACGGCATTTGAGTGACACCAACATACTTTGAACATGGGGAAGATGAAATGTTTAACAGGAATAACATTAATATTTGGTTGAAATTGAAGTTGAAGCAAATAAAATATTTTGTAATATATCATGGGTTTTTTTTTTTTAAATTATTCTGCTTTTTAGTCCAAAACTGTACTAAACGCTTCAGTAAGTTAGTTTAATTTAACCTAGTGTAAGACAATCCAACTTGATTCTTAAAATTAATTTAATTTGAAATAGTCTGATATAGCAAAATAATCCTTCTATTTATTTTTAAATGGGCCTCACGGCACCCATCAGGCTTGGCGCCAGATTCAACGTAAAGGAATATATAAATGTGGCCAGGTCATGCTCTTTGGCTTTTTCTTTCCTTTCTGCTTCCGCTTTCCCCGCCAATGCCCTTATGCCCACCTACAACAATAAATGAATATTATATTTCGAGTTTAAATTTCCATACCTTAATCCAATTAATTTCTTTTTTGTATAGATAAACCTTAAACATTAACCTTCTATTTTCATCCTCATTCCAATTAATTTCATTTTTTTTTCTTGAGAAAGAATTAATTTCTTTTTTTACAAAAACTTTTAAACATTAACCTTCAATTTCATTCCTCCTTCCAGTTAATTTCATTTTTTTTCTTGAGAAAGAATTAATTTCATTTTTTACAAAAACTTTTAAACATTAACCTTTAATTTTAATTCCTTAATCCAATTAATTTTTTTTATATAGAAGACCTTTAATTTTTCATTCCTTAATACAATTAATTTCTTGTTTTACTTCAATTTTTTAATATTTTATTTTAATTGAAAGGAGATTTTTTTTTTTTTTTCAAATTTAGTCATAAAATACGTCGGTTCCAAGTCGAAGAGTCTTGTTGAAGGTTCACTTGGCCAAAGGGGAGGCACCAAACTCCAAAATCCAGTTCCAAACGTCATCTTTTCAAACTTTCAAAATTCTACAAAAATATACGATGTTCCAACCTGATGAATCTTCTTGGCTATAACGACTGATAAGTGAAATTTCTATAACCTCTCTCCAGATCCGAAAGAAGTAGAAACCAGTAACTTGTCAACCGTTATCTCCTTTTTTTTCTTTTTTTTTTTTTCTTAATAAAACAAAAAATTCCACAAGATTATTAGTCGCTAACTTGACACCTGCAGTAAAACCAACCAGGAACAAAGTCAGAAAAATAAATTAACCAATAAATAATCAAATAATTCAAAAGAATATCCCTTGAACGAAACCAAACGCGACCTGGTAAACCAATACGACGGACCGAACGAACTGAACGCACGTAACGGACAACGCCAACAACGACGACCACGCACTGAGCGGAACGCACGGAACAGTGACGACGGAGACGGCACACATAACGGAACACCCCAAATGCTGCAAACACAAATGGATTGAACTCAACTGCTGTGCCACTAATGAATTGAACTGCTAATTAATGGGTCCTTAATCAGATTTTAATTGGGGGCTTAATTGGGGATTAGATTAGATTAGATTGTCCGACAACTGTCCTTCCAATTATCCATAGCACATGATTATCATTCAACTGTACAAATATGGAGTTCTAAGTGTAAAACTCGCCGGCTTGACTCGGCGCCTCCACTTCATAACTCGTCCAAGTTGGTTGAATCAATTCAGCTGTGCCATCGGATCTGGTCGGATAGGATTAAAACCGGCTGCGATGTGCGGCTCCGAGTTCGACTAGCCGGGTTCAAAGATCGGAAAAAGAGAGAAATGACCGGAAAGTAACCAACCAACCTGTGTCCGTTCTGTCACTCTGTAAACCAAAATTCGTCGTGAATCGTAACCCGCCACCGCTAGTAGTGGGCGGTGGACATGGCAGAGAGTCTGCTGGGCCGTGGCTGGAACCCGGCTCTCCGCCTCTGCTGGTGCGCACAAGGGCGAATCAGGGCGGTCAAGGCTCGCTTCACCCACTCGCCTTCGACTCCACTGATTCGTACCAGCGAGTTCGTCATAGCAGACCTGCGCATATTCAACCTGTTCGACGGGAAAGATCCGGTGTTTTGACTCCCTCCCTGGTTTTTGTGGAGGCTGCAGCGAAATGATCCCGGATGCGACGTCGGCGAGCACATACAGGTCTTCTTCGGCATGGAAATCGGTCCAGTTTTCTTGGAGCCGGCGATGGATCGATTCGAATGGTGGTTGGGAGAGATCGAACGGTGGTCGATGGAGAACCGGACGGACGGAGACGGAGAGGAGGAGGTGTATAGGTTGACACGCGTCGGAGAAGCGGATCTGTGATGGTGGTGGTGGTTGATCTGCTGATTGTAGTAGTGGCTGTCCTGGTGGTGGTGGAAGAAAGCTGACGCCGGCGACGAGAAGCTTGAGCTCGTCGTAGAAGCGAAACCTGACGCCGACGACGAGATCCCGCCATTAGAAGCGGTGTAGAACCTTTCGGAAGGCGAGAGCGACCGGCGCACAGGGCCGCTTTTGTTGGCCCGGATTCTCGCCCTCGATGACGAAGATGCGGGCGCCATTGGAGAGTGCAGAGAGAGAAAGTAAGTGATGAGAGAAGGGAGAGAGGGCTTTTTTTCCCTTAAGGGCCCCTTGGGCGTTGGATTTGGCAAACCTGTCGAGTCTCAAGGGCCGGTTTTATAGGCTCAGGGATGGGAGGGCGGGTGGTAATTGAGAGGATATCTGGGGGTGTTATTGGGAATCAGAGTTTGCGGGATCGGTGGTTTTTTGAAAAATTTTAGTTCCAACGGGTACACCAAATGTTTTTAATGTAAGTGATGGAAATTTTTTTTTTTAAGTTTTTAACTTTTCAATACATATATTCTATTATTTATATAACGATATGTAGTGTATCATCCCGTGTGACGATCATACTAAAAAATCTCTGTTTTTTCTGACGTTGGGAATCTTATCCAACGGCTGGAGTGATGGGGACTGGCCGATGAGGACGAAGTTGGAGCTGCTTGTCCAACGGCATTTACTGGAGCCGCTGCAGAGCCTGCCACCTATAAATTCTTTGAAAAAACGCTCAAGTTTGAAAGTACGGGAAGCCCAGTAATCATCATTTTATTACGGCTTGCCATTGGTTCGTTGGGCGTGTAATACCTTAACTGACCCAGACTTTTGGTCTTTATACTCCTAGGTCCCCAGGATTACTGCTTTTTTACTTTTTTTTTTTTTTTTTTTAGTTCATCGATATGTTTTTACACTAAGAGGAAGGAAAGTTCAGCTAAGTCATACATGAGCAATCTAATTGGATATCAAATTTGCCATCTATAATATTCGAACAAAAACCTCTTACTTTTAAGTAAAGAAGAATATCATCAAACTTAATGTAAGTGTCATAATATTTGGAATTTAAACTTGAGAATTATAGTTTCCAAATTCCAATTTTTTTTCCACTCGAAAATTTTAAATTTTAAATTCCTCTTCACTTGTAAGTGAAATATCTTATGTTCAATTCTCACCAAAGGTGAATTTGAATCACATTATTACTAGCTCATTGTAAAGTTAAGCCTATCTCTTCCTTTTAGTGTAGATAACATCATTTGTTAAAAAAATAGTAAGAGAATTGATGCATGTCAATTTAAAACTTTTAGACTTTTATCAAAATTTCAAGTTTATTTCATTCATCCAAATATAATGTAAATGTCATAATACAAGTAAATAGACAATTAAAATAAGAATCAAATCGTGCTTTCGGAACAACTAAATCCCTCCCGAAAAAAATGGTAACTACAAATGGGGCAGGGTGGTTCGGGATAATAATGATGGAGTTGGTCCTTTTAGGTTGAAATTCATTTTATTAGGTGAGTGGGCACTTGGTTGCTCAAAATAGTGAAATTCTTCATCCATTATTTTGTTGTTCGTATCTTTGTCTAGCAAAAATGCAAATCTTCAGAATCACTCAAAGAATCGAGAAAGAAATATAAAAAAAATAAAGTTATGAATCCTATATATGTTTGGGTGAACCAAAACGTAGGTTGGAGAGAATTTAGATGCAATTGGGTGTACATATTTTTATGCCTTTTTACTTAAAGTGACATATTATGGGAAAAATATGAATTAAAATATCGATATCGGTAGATATACTTGTAGTTCATATTCATAGATATATCAATGACATCGGTGGATATATAGGTAAAAAATGAAAACAAAATAAAATATGTATAAAACTTCTACAAACTCTAAAACCAACCGGTAGTGCGCCCTTTAACACATAAAATAATAGGAATTAATTTTTTTTTCATTACGATTCATGTGGGTTAGTAGCAGCTTATATGAAATCAATACTCCGATTCTAAAACACTTTGATAAACAGCTTCAAGAAATTGATTCTAACTCATCTTAATTCATTTTAATCATTTATGTTTCAACTCATAAGTATCACGCTCTATGTATTGACCCACATATTAATTTTGTTCTTTCATCTAACTTCGTTAAAGTTTTTGTTAAATTGTTGATATGGCATTCATGTAGGGCCACTTGCTAATGATAGAATGCCACGTGCATAGAAAATAAAAATCCACTTTTTAATTTAAAATTATAAAAGCTAAATTCAAAAAAAAAAAAAAAAAAAAAAAAAAAAAAAAAAAAAGGTTAACTCTCTAAGGTGATAAGGTAAAACATTGCTTTGCACAATTGTCAATTAAAATCATTGATCACAAAACATACCGAATAGGCATTAGCAGTTGAATAACAAGGAAAGGTAGCACTCTAAGGTGATAAGGTTTGGTGATGATGTTGATGATTTTGAGTTCACTGCCTCGCTCATATCCAAAACCCTAGCTAAGCCTTGGGGACCTCGTTTTTCAGCTAACTATTCGGAAAATTACTTGACATGTCATATGAACTTATTCACATTTTTTTTAAATTGTTATATGAATTAAAATTTTAAACGATTTATCATATTAATTTTCTAAAATTATTAATTTATTATCTTACCCTAACACTATTAAGTTTTTCTTACAAAATAAGTTGTGCGCCTCGCACATGGCACATGACTTGTGTTCAAGATATTTTCGTATTCTTGACCTCCATTTTCACAAGTTCGTTGCTTCTCCTTAGTTCAAATCCTTAAACTTTGGCTGGTGAAAATACATGTTGTGTTCATTGAAAAGCTTATCTTGACTACTAAAAAGCACATTAGACTTACTAACATGAAGTTGTGGATAATTGCAAGCTTTGAAAATTCAACATGGTCAATTATGTCCATAACAAAAACTTGGACAATCATGCCCATCTCTTTCACTTCATTGCTACGTGGTCGTGTTCAAAATCAAAGGTACTAAGTAATGAGAAAATATTGCTTAAAGTTCACTACATTTTCAATAGATTTCCTTCAAATTCTACAGTTTTCAAGGAAAACTTAACGGAGTTAGGATGATATGACAAATTAACCATGAGATTAATGGAGCAATGAGGTGTTGAAATGTCCAAAATAACCCTAAACATAAGTCATGACTTATTTTGGATGGAAAACTTAACGAAGTTTTGGTGAGATGATAAATTAATGAATTCGGAAAGTTGATATGACAAATTACTTAAAATTTTAGTCCATATAACCAATTGAAAAAATTGTATAAATTCATATGATATCTCAAAATTTTCTTCTAACTATTTTTAACCCACTCACAAGTTTGGCGATTACATGTGGAGTTGATATTCAATGCCCAATTTACAATTTATACTACGTTTGAATGAGGATTTTTAAATTTTAAGGGATTGATGTCATGCGAGTAAGATTTACAAATACATTTCACATGTCTTTGTAATGTTCATATTAGGAGATTTCTTCTCCCCACATTAATCTTTTGTGATGCATCTCTTACTAACTTAACCTCAATCCTTTGAGACTTGAAATTCCCTCACCCCAAATATGATTACGCAGGCCGAAGCGTAGCGGCTTGAGCGAATTAATGCTTCTATACATTCGTGTTCAAAATAATTTAGATTAGTTTAACTATTTAAATGAAATAGCACTTACATGAAAAAAAAAACATATGTATTGAAAGAAAAACGTCAAAGCTTAATATTTTGATTAAGGAAGCCATTTAATATTATGGTTTAGTAGTATTCTTCTTCACTTGTGAGTGAGAGGTCTTCGATTTTTGCTAAATGTGAGTTTGAACCACATTATTGCTAGCCTATTATGAGGCTAAGCTCCCCTCCCGTTTAGTGTAGATAATATCATTTGTTAAAAGAAGAAAAAAAATTTTGATTAAATGTGAGAAAGATCAAGAAATTGACTATAATTTTATCTTTTGCTGCAGAATTAACTATTTTGATTATTATTTGGTATGAAAAATGGAGTTTATTATATCCATTTGAAATCTTAGAAAAGGTTATCTACAATTCTACCTCCTTCCAAAGGACCATATTGCACTAATACTAAATAGATCAGTTGGCATTTGTAAAATGTTGATCAAGTGAGGTGGAAAAAATAATTTTAAAATAGATTTTGTGCATAGACTAATTAACTTGGTACATGTATCTTTATATTGTCACGTAGTGCACTTCATAGATAACGTTGTATAGCTTATTATAGACTAAATAAATAATATTCAGGCCATCATAATGACATATTAAAATATTATAGAATATATATCTTATTGAAATGTGACAGCTGTCGATGACAAAAAATGATTAAAGCAAAGTTTATTTTTAATCATTGCTTAGGAGCATAGGCAAGCTGTAAGCTACAAAGTCGACGAAGATGATTCTTAATTGGGTTGTGTGCTTGGGTTCTAGAACAAAGAGAAATAGGGATGGGCACAGTGTGATTCGGTACGATTCTGTCTCTAAATTAGAACCTTAAAATATCAACAGTTCGGTTTGGTGCTGTTTCGTTTAAATTTATTATTAAAATCATACAATATTGTCTACACCGGTTCCGATTCGGTTCTTGTCGGTTTACGATTCCGAATACTAAATTATTTGAACACCAAATATCATGCATTCAAATACATCTTTTAAAACTGATTCTATAAAGTTGCATACAACATATATCCTTTTTAATACAAATGTCTTTGGTCAGTGGCCCTAATTGAACAACACATATCATGTTTGCATAAAACACATATACCTTCAGTTCTCTCCATCCATCTATTGGAATAAGAACAGACAACTACATACCTTCAGTTCTCTCCATCTGTTGCACCTGATAATCTAACCCATTGGTCGGCACAAGGTTTCCAAGAAACAGAAGGAACTAATGGCTCCAGCCACAAATTTTTCGACTCAGGTTTATTTTTCTACCTTTGCATCATTCAATGTACAGGCCAAAAAAGACACATCGAGTGATTAGAATGAGATCTCATCAATTAACTACACTCAGATTCCAAGAGGAGGCAAAGAAGACAATATCTCTGCAAAGCAATTGAGGAATAATTACTCTAAACAGGAAGATTTCGGTAACCTTATTGTTCTCCCTTAGACACCAACTATCTTCAAATCTATTACCTTTGGAGCCGCTAAAATTTGACAGAGCAAAAAAAAGTAATTAGCTTTAGAGTAGTATACA